AAACCAACATCCACGGTTTGTTGGAGATACCGTAGAATCCATTTCACATCTTGCCAATGTCATTCTCTAGGATCATGCATGTACCTGCTCACAACTTCAACTGCTTGTGAAATCTCAGGACGCGTATACACCATTGCATACATCAAGCTCCCAATTGCATTAGCATATGAAACTTTTGCCATATACTCTCGTTCTTCGTTAGTTTTAGGAGATAACTGAGAACTAAATTTCAAATGAGAAGCTAGTGGGATACTTACATGTTTGGTATTTTCATTCATGACAAAACATTGTAATACCTTTCTCAAATATTGCTTCTGAGTTAAACAAAGCTTCACTCTCTGTCTATTTCTACTTATCTCCATACCAAGAATTTTCTTGGCCTCACCTAGATCTTTCATCTCAAACTATTGATTCAACTGAGCCTTTAATTTGTCTATCTCCTTTTGACTCTTCGAAGCGATCAACATATCGTCAACGTACAAGAGAAGATAAATGAAAGATCCATCTTTGAGATTTTGCAAATACACACAATGATCATATTTGCTTCTAGTGTACTTTTGCCTCCTCATAAAGCTATCAAATTGTTTGTACCACTGCCTCGGAGATTGCTTCAATCCATATAGCGATTTGTTCAGCTTACAAACTCATTTCTCATAACCACCATCTTTGTATCCTTATGGCCGAGTCATATAGAGCTCCTCTTCTAAATTGCCATGCAAGAAAGTCGTCTTTACATCAAGTTGAGCTAGCTCCAAATTCAACTGTGCTACCAATGCCAACAATATTCTAATGGAGGAATGCTTCACGACAGGGGAAAATACTTCATTGTAGTTGATTCTCTTCTTTTGAGTGTAGCCTTTAGCTACCAACCTTGCCTTGTAGCGAACATATTTCTTGCTATGAGATCTATCTTTCTTTGCAAATACCCACTTACATCCAATTGCTCTTTTACCTTTCGGTAATTGTGCCAGTTTTCAAGTGTTGTTCTTTTGGAGAGATTGTATTTCTTCATCCATGACACTTTTCCACTTATCACTTTTCAAGCTTTGTATTGCTTCTTGGTAAGTGATAGGGATATCATCATCAACAATTGGAAGAGCATAGGCCACCATATCAACAAATCGAGTTGGTCTACGAATTTCTCTCCTTGGCCTTGTAACTGCTACTGGTTCTGGTGTCTCCAATGGTTCTTGGGTTTGAACCTCTTCATCTTATGATTCTTCTATTGGATTTGAAGAATCAGGTGCATCAACTTCTGAATCACCGTTTGCTGAAACTCCACATGTTTTGGAGTATGCTTCACATGCTGCGGAGTACTACTTGTCTGGACAGCTTCATTTGTTACATTCTTTACTAGGACAGATTCATCAAAGGTAACATCTCTGCTATAAATTATCTTCTTGGTGTCTAAACACTAAAGGCGGAACCCATTAACTCCATGGGTGATTCCCATAAAGAGAGCCTTATTTTCTCTTGGATCAAGCTTGGATTCCTTCACATGATAATAAGTAGTGATCCAAATACATGTAAGGAATCATAATCAGTAGCATGTTTTATAAACCATACCTCCAATGGTGTTTTTTCTCCTATCGCTGATGATGGCAGATGATTGATGAGATGGCCATCATATGTCACAACCCCAGCCCAAAATGCCTTAATTAACCCAGCATTAGACAGCATACATCGAAATTTCTCCAATAGTGTTCGATTCATACGCTCTGTTACCCCATTCTGTTGTGGTGTATTTCTAACAATGAAGTGTCGAACAATACCATACTCATGGCAAACGTCAAAGAATGGGTCACTTTTATATTCTCCTCCATTGTCCGTCCTAAGACGTTTGATATTTCTACCAGTCTGGTTCTCGATCATATTTTTCCATTTAAGGAAAATTCGAAGCACTTCATTTTTAGACTTCATCGGATACATCTTTAGACTTCATCGGATACACCAAACTCTTATGGAAAAGTCATCTACAAAAGTTACAAAATAATGGTTTCCTCCCAAAGACGGTGTCTTTGAAGGACCCTATACATCTGAGTGAATATAATCCACAATACCTTTTGTATTATGTATAGTGGTGCCAAACTTCACTCTCTTCTGCTTTCCCTGAACACAATGCTCGCAAAAGTTCAATTTGCAACCTTTAAAAAATCCTTTATTTGCCAAAATTTGCAAGGATTTCTCTCCAGCATGTCCCAACCGCATATGCCACAACTGGATTGTGTCCAAATCATTACCTCCGGAAGCTGCTGCAATTGCTCCAATAATTGTACTACTTTGGTAGTAATACAAATTATTTTTCCTGATGCCCTTCATCATCACAAGTGCGCCAGATGTGACTTTTAAAACTCTATCTCTCATAGTGACTATTGAGTCTTTGGATTCCAAGGCTCCTAACGAGATGAGATTTTTCTTCAAATTGGGCATGTATCGGACATCAGTCAGAACTATGGTTGATCCATCTTGATTCTTCAATCGAATTAAACAGATCCCAACAGTTTTACAGGCATTGTCATTGCCCATATAAATAACTCCTGTATTTAGTGCAACTAAATCGGAGAACCACACCCGATTAGGGGACATATGATAGGTACAACCCGAATCTAATATCCACTCATCTGAATGGAATGTTGTTGATGAGCAACCAATGATATGTCAGAGTCATTTGCATCATGCTCTGCAACACATGCATCTGGAGCAACTTTTCATTTCTTCTTCAACTTCGGACAATCTTTCTTCCAATGGCCTTTCTCATGACAAAAGGAACATTCATCTTTTCCCAGTATGGACTTCGACTTTGATCTCTCTCTCCACTTTGGCTTTTGACTTTTCGAGCGACCTCTTGCCACCATGCCTTTCGCTGCTTCGTACTTGCTCTCCTTCTTGGTTTTCTTTCTGAGCTCATAACTATACAAAGCAGCAGTTACATCTTTAAGGGTAACATTATCCTTACCATGAAGTAACGTTGTCTCAAGGTGCTCAAATTCATCTGGAAGAGATGACAACAACATCAAATTCAAATCTTCATCTTTGAAAGTTTCATCCATGCCCAATAAGTCTGCCACTAGCTCATTGAACGTAGTGATGTGTTCATTCATACTGGTGCCTAGTTGATAATCAAATCTGAACAATCTTTTCTTCATGTGGAGACGATTCTGAGAGCTTTTCTTTAGGAATTTTTCCTCCAATTCTTTCCACATCTTACTTGCAGAAGTCTCGTTCTTGTAGCCATACTTCTGCTCCCTGGAAAAACAAGATCGAATCGTGCTGCACGCCAAACGATTGATTGTTTCCCATTATTTCTCCTCCATATATTCAGACTTTTCTTCCTCAATGACGATGTCTAGACCTTGTTTAAATAAAGCGTCTAACACCTCGCCTTGCCAGATGCCAAAATGACCGGATCCATCGAATAACTCAACCGAGAAATTTGCATTTGACATCCTCCTCCTCACCGATCCAGATGAAGAGCTTGATGTCTCAACTGATCCGTATTTTGGCATTTTAATTCTAACGAATAATATTCAATAGCACAAACTGTATCTTTTCAGCAACGGGACCACCAGGATAACCTCAACCGAAGCTCTAGATACCAATTGTTGGGGAAACCGAGTTATTTCCCACTCGAACGTAGTTTCAAAATTGACCTAAAATGTCAAGATCAAAACCATCGAAGGTTGCAAAGTGGATAAACCCGTCAAATTATTGAATATTGAAACACATTGGAAAATCGAATAAAAAACAATAATGGAGAGAACACACCAAATTTACGAGGTTTGACAAGAATATCGTCTACTCCTCGGGCACCACACCGGATGATAACTTCACTATCAACAAAATATTACCACAAATGGAATTCTTTAGAATTCACAAAGTGAGAGAATGACGAAAACAAAAGGAAGAGAGAACTTATTTTTGGGATGATTTCTAGTGATATACTTAGGCCTATTTATTGTTGAGTTTTAAGGACTAAACTTATAAATAACCTAATATTTTAGGGACCAAAGATGAAATTCCCATATGCAAAGTTGGCCACCTACCAAAGATTAATTTTCCAATAAGTTGGCCACTAACCAAGATGAATTTTCCAATAAATTGGCCACTAACCAAGATGAATTTTCCAATAAATTGGCCACCAACCAAGATGAATTTTCCAACTTGCTAAATTTTATTTCAAGCCAAACATAAAATCTTTGCCCCCACGAATCTTGGTATCTTCAATATATAGCGCTTGTTGCAAGGCAATGTGATTGAAAATCGTGTTCCTAAAGCCTATTGGGAGCATTTTATTTGGATGGGGCAACTGTGTAAGGCAGGGTTAAAAGGAGCTAAGATTGAGTCTTAATTCACGACTCGACTCGAAAAAAATTTAAATAAAGTTTAAATGATATTCGAAAACTCAAGTAACTTGATTTTTTTTTCACTCGGTTCAATTAAATATTCATCTTTAATGCTAACCAATTTAAAAACATGTATTCATTATAAAACTAACCATGCTAACTAAGTTAAAACATTTATTTATAATGTTGGATGTAATTTGGATCTAAAACCTGATCCAGTGTTGAAAACAGCAACACCAATGATTAAAATAATCCTTCAACTTATTAAAATTTATCACTATTGTATAACATATAGTGATAATTTTATAATATTTCATTAAGTTTAATGATTATATTTTTATAATTTTTGAAACATCAGTGACTACAAATATATTTTAATATAATGTAATAACTATTTTTGTACTTTACCCCAATTATTTTCCTCGAAATTAAAGGGAAACATGGAGTTAAATAATTTTTATTATCGACATAAGTCTAGTGATTATTTTGAAGATGATTTGTAGAAGAGAAATGGAAGAAAAATATGCAGAGAAAGTAATAGTAGGCACGGTTGGTCTTTGCACTAGTTAAAAACCCTTTAAAACATATAATTAAACTTCTTGGAGACATTAAGAAACTAGTGATTATATATATATATATGCGCGCGCGAGAGCTAAAAACTATAGTATTATACTATATAGTTTGCCTTGGGGATCCACATTGATTGCATATGCCTCAGTGGAGAAATTAAGGAAACTAAAGAAGAAAAGATAATTAATTAATTCAATTGAAGCACGGATCTAAGAACGTTCACCTGTAACTCAAGACATGAAACATAACTTCCCAACTCACTTAACAATATTTCATCATCCAGCATCATCTCACCACTCCCTCCTGGTATAAGCTTCCTCAGATACGTCAACCGCTCCTCCTCCTCGGCGGCGGCTTCCGTTCCACTTCTTTTAGGATTCCCTTCCAATTTCTCCGTCGCCGGCTCATGGTTTACCGGCATTGTATTCCGATAACCGTCGTGAGATAAATAACTTTGGGATTTGCCTACCTGGTTGTTATTGTTAACGTTTAGTCGAAGCTTGTGTTCCAAGGCATGGCTCCAAGCGAACCCTTGGGCTGATAATGCCAACGCCATGTCGACTTCGTACCTCACTGTCTTCTCTATTTCTTTATCGACGTACCGGTCGACCGACAACGATGATGCCGGTTTACCGATGTTGGCTAGCTCAGGAAGCAAGTAATTCAGATATGTCTTTGCGAAACTGGTTTGCATTATCGTCCTGGGTTCCATAGGATAAACACGTCTTTGTTCCTTCATGTATCCTTCCTTTATTAACAACAAGAAGAATAAGAAATCAATCAAAACAAATAAGGTTAAACAATAATGTTTGCAATTGCATGGGAATCGAATGTATATAGTAATTGTTAAACCAAAGATATAAAGCCGACTCGATAAACCCTAAAGTGGGGGAGAGAGAGAGAAAAGAGGGTTTTGGTTTTGTATTACCCTAACTGTGCTGTGGAGAAGAAAGTAACTGCTTTTGGACGTCGTACAGACAGGGCCGTGGCTAGGTTGAAGGAGGCCCTGTGCAAATTCTTATAAAGGGCCCTTAGATCTCGAACTTATTTTTGGGACCCCTATTTTTTTGGGCTTCTTAATAGCAACAACTGATAGATATACTCGATTTTGGGACCCTATTTTTTGGGGCTTCTTAATGGAAACAACTTATAGATATAATCGATTTCGGGGCCCTATTTTTTGAGGCTTTTTAATGGCAACAACTGATAGATATACTCGATTTCGGGGCCCTTATTTTTTGGAGCCCTGTGCCGTCGTGCACTTTGCACACCCTCAGCCACGCCCCTGCGTACAGATATGTAGGAATATCTTATATTTATAAACAAAAGGACTTGGTCATTAGCCGATATTCATAGACATATGTGAGTTACAAATTATGTTGATTCACCTTATAGATATTATTACCATAAATAATAAAAAAATTAAAATATTATTAAATAAAATAGGTTTACGGCTGTAAGAAGTCCTGTACTTTTGATAAAAAAATGGAGTAACTAAATTTTTAATATTTAATTAAGTCTTAAAATTTAAAAGATTAATTAATATGACGACATCGTCATTGATTTTATAGTACTTATGTGATATTTCACATGTAAATAATGAAAATTGTTGTATAAGTACAGACACGTGATTTTATTTAGAGGGAACAAATTTAAACTTTTAAAATTTTAAGTGACAAACTTAAATTTATAAAATTTTCAGGGGATTAAAGATTAGAATTGATTTTTAATAAAAAAAATACATAAAAAATCTAGAAGGATAATTTTAAGTTTAAAAAGAATAAATAAAAAAATTTCCCGAAATGTTGGGACTCCTAACACATTTTTAAGTCAATAAAATAAACAGCTGTTTGAGTTCAGGGTTCAATGATTTACCAAACCGTCTTTGGCGTAGACCCACTAAAAAATTGGAGGGTTGGGAAATGAGAGAAAGGCCAAAACGGAGGAGCAAATTGCGGATACTAAAGCTAACACTTCTTTCTCTCTCATGTAAATAACTCATTTATCCATTTTTTTTTTGTTACACTCGATTTTTATTTGGTCACAACTCATTTATCCATTTAACATGCATCACAATATATATATATATCTTTGTTGAAGTAAATTCAATATTAAGTTCACCTATAATTCGAAGATATATAATTTTTTTCGAATAGTATGAGATAATTATAAGTCAATATATGCTTAAAATCTTTCTTAATTATTAATAACACATATCCTACAAGCGCAACTGTTCAAATTCAAGACTTTTAAAAATAATAATATTTACTTTAACTATTAAAATCACCTTAATCAAAATAGAGAGTGAACTTCCAAATTAAAGGTTCATGCCAAGGAAAAATCTTGGAAAAGGGGGGGTCTTGAGAATTGAATAATTGACACATGGTCTCACATGCTTGATTCCCCCCACCCCTTTTGCATCCCGACTCTCTATTCCCATGTGCACACTAACCTACAAACAACACTAAATAAATGCTCCTCACATGACTCTCTTCCTACTTTCCTCTCTTTGTTTTCTTTTTCAATCCCATCAATCCTCTCTACACCCACAATATAAGATACCTTATGATAAACGATTATTTTGATCATATTTATAATATTGTATCTTTTAAATTTCGAAGACTTACTAAAAACAATCAATGCTTCTCCTTTTGTGTTTGTTTGGCATTTTAATAGTTTCGAAACTTCAATAAAACTAGTTAATACTCCTCCTAAAGTAACAACAATTAATTGTTATGTCACAATTCAATTAAAATTGTTTGTATTATACATTCATTTATGGATGATTCTACCACACTCGACGAGCAACGATAAGCACCACTAACGATAAGTAACGATAAATTAATTTATAAAATATTAAAATTATAAAGTACCCAACGTATAATTATAATTTAGTTGAAAATCTAAATGTAATTTATTTAAAATAAATATTAATTACAATTATAGTAAGCCCTAGATTAAAAAAAACTCTAATTTGTTTTAAAGCTTTGAAGTTTCCGTAGCCGCTGTCGTCGGTATCATCTGTCACTGTCGATTGAATCTTTTATGTTCATCTCTCCTGACATGGATGTCGTTCACCGCCGTTTGCGCAACCAATCCGTTAAGGTAAGCTTGATTAATTTTATTTTTGTTTCGAACTTGGTCTTTCGTCTAAGTCGTCACCGGTGGGTGGTGCCTCATCGGCTGTCGGTGCCTTCACCAGCAGTGGTTGTGGATGCCGGTGTGGGACTGCCGTCTCTCATCATCTTTCCCTATTCCCTTAATTCCTAAACCCTAACTATAACCCTAACCCTAATTAGTGTAATTATAAAACCTTATTTCCCAAATTGATTACCATAATTCTCAATTTAGAACCCTAATTAGAACTATTGAACCTTAATTCCTATGTTCAAACCATATTTTTGAAATCCAATTTCGATTTCCCAATTTGAATACTACAAGTCATACCGATACCTTGGCTCAGTGTACCGGTACGCGGACATCCCAATATTGGTACAGTTAGTGTACCAGTACCATAATAGTACACTATTTTTTAAGTTCAAATATGTGTACCGATGCACTAGTAGAGGGTATAAGTACGATATGCTTGATTTGTACAATTTTTTGTTAATGCAATTATAATGTCATTAACCATTTTAACAATGTTGGGTTTGTTTATGTTTGTGAAAATATAGATTTTTTCAACATGATTGATAATAAAGATACAAAAAATTTAAATTACAAAGTTGGACGATTATAATCAGGATGAAGATGCCATAGTCAGGATAAATATGGATACAACAATGAATCAGATTGTGAAAGTAATATTGAAGAAGAACAAATTGATTATCCTATTGATGATGACAAACATATAGATGATGAGAAGATAATTGACAACATCATTGACGAAAGCATATGAGATAAGATTGAGAAGGAATTAAAACATTACGATGAGAATGACACGAAGATACTGAAGTGGAAGACTTTAGATGATTGTATTGAATTTTATCGTACCTATACAAAGGTGAAAGGTTTTAGAGTTCAATTCAACCAAACAGTGAAAAGTCAAAATGGTGGTCACATAATTGCAAAGAAAATTGAATGCCATAAGGAGGGATATAGAGAGAATAGGCGGGTAACACTCAAAATAGAAAACGTGAACAAAGAACGACCATCCGAGTTGGGTGTAGAGCATTTATTAGATTCAAATTGGATGAACGTTATCAATATTGGAAAGTTGCTAAATTCCACATAGAACATAACCATAAAATTGTTTAGCCAACACATGTCGCTTACATCCGGCATGTAATTCATCCAAAAGAAAATTGTTGCATGCTAACTTGAATCTTATATATACATATAATGTTCTTTGATGACATATGTTGTAGGTTATTCTGAAAAATTAGCGGGTTAGATCGTGTAACACCCATCTCCCGTATACCTTTCCGTACGCGAGATACAAATGTCACATCACTTTTAAAATATTTACTCATTTGAAAACCCGTAAAATTTTGTTTCAAATTTTAAAACCACACAATTTAACACGATGATTAAATATTCATTTAAACATCTTACTAAAACTACCACTTTAAATACTTTACAAAATATTTTCTGAAGTTCAATTACATGCCAGCTAAGTTTTCAAAACAAATAAGATTGTCCCAATGTTATTGACGAGTCAACCTTTAATTGATGATAGTTGTTACTGCTGCACTCTATACTTGACAAATCTTTGATGGTTACCTACGCATGAAATCAACACACATTAAGTATTTACTTAGTGATGCATAATCTTGTAAAGGAAATACAATTATATTCATAAGCATATCCTTACTATAACACCATGATATTTTGTCTACTTCGTGAACCTTCTTTACAATTTTTTAATTAAATCCATAAATGACACCATTTATGTCAAAATACACTGTTAAGCATTTAATCTTTCATCTAACTTGCAATATTGGCACCTTTCTGCCAAATGCACAGCTATGCCATTAATCTTTTACTTAAAGGCATTTAGCCTTTCATCTAACTGGCAATATTGGCACCTTTCTGCCAAATGCAAAGCTAGGCCATTAAACTTTTACTCAAAGTCATTTAGCCTTTCATCTAACTGGCAATATTGGCACCTTTCTGCCAAATGCACAGCTAGGCCATTAATCTTTTACTCAAAGAGTTTTAGCCTTTCATCTAACTGCAATATTGGCACATTTATGCCAAATGCACGGCTATGCCATTAATCTTTTACTCAAAGGCATTTAGCCTTTCATCTAACTGGCAATATTGACACATTTCTGCCAAATGCACAACTAGGCCATTAATATTTTATTCCAAGGCATTTAGTCTTTCATCTAACTGGCAATATTGGTACCTTTCTGACAAATCCACAACTAGGCCATTAATCTTTTACTCAAAGGTGTTTAGCATTTCATCTAATTGGCAATATTGGTACATTTCTGCCAAATGCACAGTTAGGCCATTAATCTTTTACTAAAAGGCATTTAGCCTTTCATCTTACTGACAATATTGATATATTTCTGCCAAATACACAGCTAGGCCATTAATCTTTTACTCAAAGACATTTAGCCTTTCATCTAACTGACAATATTGACACTTTTCTACCAAATGCACAACTAGGCCATTAATCTTTTATTTTAGAATAGTTCTTACCCTAAAAATTATTCATAATATCAATTCCACACACATTATAAACATATATCATGTAAGGTAAAGCAGACATTAATTTAAACATTTGAGGCAGACT